ATAGAAGCTACATCTACACATGCATATATTCGGCCTGGCAAAGGGCGACCGCCTGCTGTGCCGAACGACAGCAGCAGCTAGGGCTCGAAACCGGCCGGCTTCGGTCTTCGCCCAAGCCTGCAGGGGACTGCATAACGAATGCCCGCCAAGCCCTATAAGACCCGTAAAACTCTAAATCCCAAACCCCAACACCCAAAACCCTGAACCCCTAAACCCCAAACCCTAAATATGTATATATATATATATATATACATACATACATGTGTATATATATATATATATACCACAACTCGGGCCCGGAGAGCCTTGGCAGCCTGGCGGGGCTTCGGAGGTGCGATGCCGTGCTTGTCGTGCAGCTTCAAGAAGGCTGCCTACGGTGCACAAGCTGCAAGAAGCACATTATATATATATATATATATATATATATTATGAATATATATATATATATATATATATATATATTGTATATTAAGTTACGTATACATGTATATATTCATATATACCACTGTCTATATTAATATGTCGTCAACTGTATATGTATATGTATATATATATATATATATGTATTATGCATCTTCACATATACCTCATGAACTATATATCTACAAATGCACATCTAGATACCTATGTTTCTTAGGTATCAATATATATATATATATATATATATATATATATATACGTATATATGTATGTATATATATATATGTATATATGTATGTATATATATATATATATGTGGGGCCACATTTTTTTGGCGGCTTGGCCTGGAAGACGCTGAGGGCCGGCAGCTTGGGCTCGGTGAATTCGGTATGCAGATGAATGAGCGGGTTCACGTTCAGTTGTATCTGCAAAGAACAATAAGCAGGTTGACTATGTATATAGATCATAGTGGACAATACCCGGCCTCCTTCTCATAGATCATGCCGAGTCCCGAGTTCGAGGTGCACAACTGCACCAGGGTGCGGTTTTCCGGAGCCTTCGTCCGCAGCTCCGGCCAGTCCACCGAGGAAAACCCTCTCTCCAAGGCCTGTCATCATGTGTATATATTTATATGTATATACATAAACACATATATATATATATATATATATTATATACATGTAGTTCTATGTACCTGTTTACATATATATTTATATATGTATACACATGGACCAGTGGGGATACACCCACACTTCAAAACTTGCTGAGTAGAAACGTGCGACCGTAGCTGTGTAGAGTACTTGAAGACTATGAGCCCAAGACCCATCTCTCCACGAATACAGGCCTCGTAAAGCCTCATGGAGAGGCTTGGCCCCAGCGTGGAAACATCCACCTCTTCGGGTTCCGGCTCCATCGCTGGCAAAAGAAGCTCCCACAAATAACTGGAGCAGCAAAAGCTGCAGCACAATCCCGCAGTCTATGTCTTGCCTGTAGCCTATGTATATATATATATATGTATGTATCTATATATATATATATGAGCACACTAAAAACAATGTATGGGTATACATTATAAAGCTATAAGTTTTGACATCTCGAATGTGCACATGTGCACATGCACGTCACAAGATGATTACTCATGATGACTTGATCAATATGTATATATATATATATATGTATATATATACATTATACTAAACTACCTGATTCCACATATATATATATATACATATATTAAATTCATATTCATGTTGCTCGTCTAGCAACCTAAAACCCAGGCAGCACAGGGGGGGGCACACCTCGCTGCCGCTTGGTCTGCCGCCGGAAGTCTTCCAAGGCTCGCTTCATCTCGAAACCATCGCGGGATCACCTGCACGGGTTCGGAAATTCTGTGGGGGTTATAATTATGTACTTTAGGGTTTAGGGTTCAGGTTTTAGGGTTTAGGGTTTTAGGGTTTAGGGTTTTAGTGTTGTGGAGTAGGTTTCAGGCTGGGTGGAGCGGATTGGAGCAGGATTAAGTCAGGAGCGGTTGTTGCATGGCTTCTGGCTAAAACTTTCGGGTAGGAGTTGTAAGGGCGGATTGGGTTCATGGATTCGGCCTAGGGTTTTGGGTTTTAGGTGTGTCAGGTCTATGGCTATGGCCATGCTTTCATGTTTGGAGTAGGCTGCAGGCTGGGTGGATCGGTTGTTTGAAGCGAGGTTAAGTCAGGAGCGGTTGTTGCATGGGTTCTGGCAAAAACTTTCGGGTAGGAGTTGTAAGGGCGGATTGGGTTCATGGCTTCGGCCTACCATTGTGCATATTCGTATAAATAAAATATATATATATATATATATATATATATATATAGCTCAATCCAACATACATATATAAAGATACATAATGTATATATGTATCCAAATATAGATACAAGGCATCCTTCACACTTTCAGGTACATTGCATGTATGTATGTATGTATATGTATGTATGATATATTTTATATATATATATATATACACACCTCTACATGATCAAGGACCCTCGCTCTTTTTCTCTGCCCCTGCCGCCCGGGTTCACCTCTCGCCGGCGATATAGCCAGAGCCATCCTGGCCAATCACCACCTTGCCTTTTGGCCTCCATCTCGAGAGGGAAAACAAAGCCTTCGGCGGCGGAACCTCCACTGCAGCCTTGGGTCCAGCAGCCTTGGCTCCAGCAGCCTTGGCTCCAGCAGCCTTCGGTCCAGCAGCCTTCGGTGGCGGGTAGGCGGGCGGAACCGGCCTCTTTGGCATTGGCTTCGTCACCACGTTCTTCGCCTTCGGCACCTTCGGCACACGTGGCTGTGGCCTCGACTTGCTCTTCGCCCTTGCCCCAGTCTCCCTCTTCGCGGCCTTCTTCTGTGGAGCCTGCCCATCCGGACGAAACCAGATGTCCTGCACGTTCCTCTTGGCCCCCCTCTTGTCCGCCTCCTCGACATCCGAAGGGTTCCAGGAGACCTCCTCCTCCTCGAGCTCTTCGTCGAGCCCCTGCAGAGCAAATGTACTATATAACAAGTATTACAATAATATATTATATGTGTATATGTATATATATATATACAGATACATATATATATATATATGTGTATATATACATATATATATATATATATAGATTTACAGATACAGGTATATAGTAAGTTACACAATATATTCAGTCCAAGCTGCTGGC